TTACCCCAGAGTTCTGTCTCGTCTATGAAATGGTCAGCCTCTGGTCTTGTCCGTCATCTGATGAAGACCATCCTATGTGAAGATGATTGTTTGGTAACGCTCTTCTGGGGCAGTGCTGAGAAACCTCTTCTGATGTCTCCTAAGAAGACCGCTACTCCAGGTTCCATAACAGCCGGTCATGTGACCGGATGTCAGAATTTGGTCCCCTGATATCAGCTGAAAAGCCTTACGAACATGAGCCTGATAGGGTCAGCCAATCCGTGTCACTTCCCAAGCCACGCCCTAAGGCCAGATGTTGGCATTTGGTCATGTGACTGACCGCTGTTGGAAGTTCAGAGAATTCCAACTTCAAGGATCAGTCCCCCAAAGCCGGTATTGTAGCATTGGGTAGATACTGACAAGGTGAAGCACATGGCTGGTGGTCATGTCTCCCAGCGAGATGGTGAGATCTCTACACCTGGCTCCCGGTGCCACTGGACGGGTTATGATTCCCGTGTTTTATAACTCATGTGTTTTACAACCCAGAAAACGCAGCAGTAGGAGTGACACTCCCCCATTGCATGTTGGCCATTTGTTAGGAGTCCATGAGAAATTGGAATTCTGAGACAGTGATTGCCTTTCCATGAAAGATATTGGAAGCCACCACACAAACGGTGAGATGTCCGTTCTGGGTGAGTTGGCTTTGGGTTGGTCTGGGCCCCAAGCACCAAGGGGGTTATTCACAAAAGGGTGAAGAGTTTGGAGAAGGCCGGAGAAGTGAACAATCTAGGACAACATAACTGAAATGAAGAGTTTTTCCAAATTGGCTATTCTGGCCTAGACTGATCACTTCTCCGGCCTTCTCCAAGCTCTTCACCCTTTTGTGAACCAGCTTGCCAGTGTTGGTAGTCCCCATCCTCCTCCATGTTTGTACAGCTTGTTATGTTTGGCCAGCAGGTGCTCCTCGTTATATTGGAAGATGTGAGGGAGGGTGGATGAGAAATTCCGGCTGGCGGGAATGGGACCTCTTTATACACAGATATGGCTTCTTCTCCTTCTTCTCATCTGTCCTCGTCATTCAATGTGCCAACATGAAAAGGGAGATTTGGGATTGTTGTGACTGTGGTCAGTGGGCCCTCTGCCCAGTCCCCTGTGTTTGGTATCTGGGGGTAATTCTGTCTGATCAGCACTTGGCACACATCTCACCCTTGTGTCTGTGCCTGGGAGAGACCTGCCTATGTGACCATCCATGTGCCGGATGTGGATTAGGGGGCCGGCTGGTTTAGGTCAGCGGGAGTTTAACTTGGAAGTGATGTGGCTTCTCTTGGCCGTGCATGTAAATGAAGTGTGGACCAATGAATGCAGAGACTGGCGAGTTCAGACTTGAAGGAACCTGGCTGGGCTGAATTCCATCCATGGAGGTGGCCATTGTCGTCTTCCTTTAACCAGACTATGCCTTGAATGAGCAAAGTAGACAAAGGGGGCCCCCCCCCCCCCCCCCACTTTCCCCCCTCATTTGCCCCCCCCACACAA